AAATTGCAATCTCATCATCATAGTTTTATTTATTATAGGTCTTTTCATATGAAGAGCACTCCAAAAAAAATTTCAATGTGGTCTGTAAACCTTTTATCTATACCATCTTTAATTTTGTGGAAACTTTATAACCAAGAACAAGAAACTAAAAAAAAGGACCAATGTGTAAAAAATATGAAAACCACATGGCCAATATACAAAACAATGTTGCCAAATTTGTTTTAGTTCAACTATTCATTCAATTTATTTTTCATCCCTTAAATTTAAGAAAAAAGAGAAACTCGTCATAAAACAATGAAGAAAAAAAAATTATTAGTTGGTTATATTTCAATAGCAAAAAAAAATAATATTTTTATTAACATGTTCTTTTTTCCCGGTGAATTTAATAGAGGTGTTGTTTCCCTAAAAATATATTTTTTTAAAATAGATCAACATTTGTTCATTTGTTTATTTTTTTAGGTTGATTTTTATTTTTTTAAATGATTTTTTAGTGTTTTAAAGTTAGCAAATAATTTTTTAATATTACATATTTAAAAGTGTTTTCATGTTAAAACAATTGACAAAACTTGGGTTTTCAGAGTTAAAAAAACTAGGATCCTAATTTTTCCATCACCGAAAATAACTGAATAACAAATTAGTTTGTGACACGTCACCTGCATAAGAATCGTGAAGCGCCTCCCCTCAGATTTTTTTTAAATATTGTATTTTAACTTTTTGAAGTTACATGATTGGTGTTTTATAGGGTTATTCATATGAACAGTAACTTAATTTATTTTCAATGACGGTCACAAAAAATTTTCTCGATTGTATTTTTTTTAGCAAATTTAATAAGCTGTGGTTAAGTTTGTAACACGAAGAGGAAATTCAAAGAAAAACCAACATGTAAAACACACGAAAACAACTTGGCAAATTTAGAATTCATGCTAATAGTTGTTTTAGTTTAAATTTTTTTTTAATACCTAGATTTAAAAATTATAAATGAGCAAAAAAAATTAACAATCACCACATTTCAACTACTAAAAAAAATAATTTTAATATCAATAAGTTTCTAATATTGAAAAAAGTTTAGTAGAGATATCAATGTTATTTCCAATAACCATTCAGAGAAAAATTATCCGGTGCACATGTGGTTTTTTTTATTTAGTTGGTTTTTGTTTTTAGAGTGGTTTAAGGTTGGTAAATGATTTTTGATGTTTACATTATATTTTAAAGGTGTTTTTAATTTTTTTTTTTAAAAACTAAAATTTAGGTTTTAGAGATCCATAAATTTGAGCTAAAATTTCTCCAATTACTAAAGGTGATTAGACAATAAATCAATTAGCAACATGTTAAATGTCATCATTGGTGATAGGTTACCTCCATTAAAGGTAGTCACTGGTTTATTTTTTATTTTTTTAAAATAAAAATAGATAACATATTTTTTATTTCTAATAAAAAAATTAAATAAAAAAACTAAGTATGTGCTTGGCTTCTAAACTTAATTGCGTCTGGAATTTTGACTAAAGCTAATGCTTGATTCATCTGCGTCTTACCTTTTTTTTTTAGTTATATTTTTGTTCTTTTTCATTTTCATCAATTATTTATATTTAAGAATTAATTTATGTCATTTCTTTTATTTCTTAGACAAATTGAATTAGTTTTATTTTTTTAATAGTGATAAATATTCTTTTTTTTTTAATTGCATGATACTTCAAAGAGATTAGTTTGATTTGTATAAAAAAAAAACTCTCCTCTTGTATTATATATGAATCAGTTGTATGCATATAAAATTTTTATAAAAACAAAAATTATTTGTTGTTAGCAACAACATTTAAATATTTAGATAAAATAAATGAAAATGTTAAAAATAAAATGGATAGATATTGTAAAATATTTGTCTATACATCTATTTTTTATTTATATCATAAAAAATATTTTATCATTTTAATATTTAATTTATGTTAACAAAATTATTTTATGATTTATTAGTTTATATATATTTATCAGTTTATTTTATAAAATATAAATAACATTTTTTTATTTTCAAAATAAAAACATTGTGATATATATAAATATATCCATAATTTTTTTTCTTCAAGTTAACGCGTAACATAAACAGCTTGTTTGTGTAAATAATATATTTATATTTTTTAATTAAAAAATCATAATATTTTAAAATATATCCATAATATTAACGCGTTCCCTTTCATTATAGTCAACAACGCACAACGATTGATAGTTTTATAGAAATTTAATAGCTTTCTCGAAGTCAATTCCACCATAGTTTCTACGTTGATTTTCTTCGCAGAGTATTTTGAAATAATAATAAAAAAAAAATAGAAAACAGAAATTTATAAACATTACATTACATGTAGTTTTGAGTGAAGATAAAAGAGTTTAAAATGTCTACTCATAGAAGAGCACGCCAGGACGTGTTTAAAAATATTATTAAAGTACTTATTTAAAATAATATATTAATTTTTTTAAAATCATTTTTATCAAAAACACATTAAAATTATTTAAAAATATTTAATTTTAAAAAACATTATTTTTTTAATAAAAAAACCAGTCCAATCATAAGTACAAATAAACCAAAATAGCATGGGTCATAGTACGTCTTCAAGGACTTTTGTTGTTCGGTCATGTACCCCAAATTCTATTACGAAAAAATTATTAAAAACTTTATTTTCAGCGTAAAAACATACTTTTTATAAGTTTAAAATTATTATAAAAAAATAAACATATTTTTTATAAGTTTAAAATTATTATAAAAAAATAAATTTATTTGATGATAAGAGTTTATATTATGTTTTTTTTTTAAGTTTAAAATTTGTTAAAAAATAGATTTAAACTTAAATTTATTTTTTTATTTAAGGATAATTTTGTTTTTATTTTATTTGATGATAAGAGTTTATATTATGTTTTTTTTTTAATTTTAAAATTTGTTAAAAAATAGATTTAAACTTGATTTTTTTTTATTTAAGGATAATTTTGTTTTTTTAGCTATTTTTAATGTTTTTTAAACTATAAATGAATTTATCATATTTTCTATGATGATTTATGGATGTTTGGGGTCAAAAATGAAATTAAAAATAGCCTTTTAAGTAAAAAAAACTTAAGTTTTAATTTTGATGGTTAAAATTTAAGCAAAGCATTTATATGATTTTTTTTGAAAAAACTTTTAGGACAAACAATGTGAAAAAATTAAGGATTTAGTCATGCGGGCATGCTAGAACAAATTTGCGTGTGTACTTTGATAAAATAGATTAGATGTGCTATCGTGACATTTGCTTTTTAGATTAAATATTTTAATTTATATTTATTTTTTGATTTTTTAAGTTTTATTTTTATATGTTATTGATAATTATTTATTTATTTACACACGCTCCTTGACTTATTTAATTATATATATATATATATATATAATTGTTTTTCTGAACTTGTTGAACTATAAAAAAAGATTGATAAAACTTGCATATAGAATAATTTTACTAGAAATAAAATATTTAACTGTAATAAAAAATATATATATATATATGTATGTATATGTATGTATGTATGTATGTATTCAACCATAAGCAGTTGGAGCCCGCTGGCAATCAGGTAACCACCAAAGGTCGCGCTCATCTGTGGCTGGCAGAGGATGAAAACATGGGGTTTCGAGCGTACTGTACAGCTTGCTGCTCAACCACCTAACGATCATTTGCTTCCAAGCAACCCCTTCGATCACTTTCTTGTGTTTTCGACGTCGAGAGGATTTGATGTCTTCAAACTTGTTCGGTGGCAAACACATTTATAAAAACCGATGCAGTCTGGAAGCATTTTATTATGCATGTTGTTCCTAGATTAATGGAAGGCATACGTGTCATTAATTTTCTCTCCTCCTTTAGATGTCTTCGAATCCAGCCTCTCTTTTGTTCGGTGGCGAAAAAGAAAGATTCGAGATCCATCCATGAATATCCAGTCCAGTCAGACAATTTATTACCGAGGGGATTATATTGGATTTTACATTTTAAAAATATTTTTAAATAATTTAAAAAGGAATTGATTTTTGGATTGAAGAACACCCTGGAAGTTTCATACATCCTCTCGATGGGATATGAAGTTCGAGATTGCATCCTTGTTTTGTCTTTTTCCTAGACACTTTATGTATAATTGAGCATGGAACAAAGTAGTTTTATAATCGAGACTTGTAACCTTTCCAACTTACAAATGGCCCCGACTTGTTTTTGGATTAATCATCTGAAAATTAAAATAAAAAAAAATGTTGGAAGAGCAGTCAAAATGCTCCTCTCTCTCTCTCTCTAATATGATCTTAAAGTTTATTTAATGAGAATAATTTATAGTCACTCCAATCCAATAGATGGTGACTGGAGAATCGGCCTGTACACATGCTTACATACAGTTTTCAACCATTATCTTTATCATATGACAAGGTGTTTTGAGAATCTTCATGATCAAGTGCGTCAATATTTATTTTAAATGGATGTGTGGACTTTCCAAAAAAAATAAAAAATACATGGCAGGCATGACAGATTTTGCTTAGGTGTTGCTATATGAAAAACACCTCATTCTCATTTTTAAACTCCAGGAAACGGTGCCACAGTTGGAGACGGGGCCACAGCTGGAGACGGAATCAGCCGTGCCATTGCATTCAACGTGGTTGATTCTTCCGTTGAACCACCGCAGCTCGATGTCCTTAATTCGGAGTCCAATTCCGTGAGCACCTACAGAAATACATCTTCATCTGCTCATGCGAAGAGGACCCCGGCACGGCTTTGTAGCTTGCAAGTACGTAGGCTAGGTTGATGTACGAAAAATAGAAGCACATGGCAGCCCTGACTTGTCTACGCCGTGCATTTCGCAGGCAACTCCTCCGGTGAGAAAGTATAGCAACCATGCAGCCCATCTTGCTCACAGAAAATCCCTCCTGTCAGATGTACAGTATTGCATGGATATCTCTAGCAACTCTAAGAACCTGATAAAGTATCAACCCAGGTTGCTTGATCAAAGATGCGTGCGAGAACTTTCCAGCATGCATGCGCGAAAACTACATATTTATGCACAAGTGTAAAAGCAACTTACAACTCGAATCGGTTCCACCGACTCGCCAATTAAAAATTACAAGGTTGAAATCAATCCAAATAGCATTTCATTCACACTTGTTCGGCAAGAGTCACACTCGTTCAGCAAGAGAGCGACATTTCTAAACATCTTAATCAAACTTTAACTCGGCAAAAGACATTTTTGCTCAGGGATTTGTCCTGAAATGGTGGCGCTCGTTTGGCTGTGCTTCTGTCTTTGGGAGGACATCGTAGCCGTTAAAAATTTCGTGGATTTTGGAATATGCCCAACACCTGTGAAGGGTCAGCCCCACCACTGCCTTGTGATGCACGCGAACTCTCCTGCAGCTTAATCTTCTCAAACAGATACTGCTTCTCTGCCTCAGCTTCACTTAAACGAAGCTTGAGGTAACTGCTAGCATATTCTTCCTCTGATTTGTCTGTCTTAGCAAGACCGATTCTCTGCAGCCTCTCAGCCTCTCGTTTTGCTTCGTTGGCCTTGAGCTGGAACATGTCAGCCTCTGCCTGCTTAAGCCTCACAATTCTCTCAAGCTCTTCAACCTGTAGCTTCTTTTTTTGCCTGTCAAGCTTTAGTTCTGCCACTTCCTTGGCCTTCTCCTCCAGCTCGCGGTCACATGCCTCGAGAGCCATGCGTGCTTTCTTAAACATTCTCATTTTCTCATCAGCTACCATCTCCATCTTCCTTATGGCCTCTTGCACCACTTCAGCAATTCGGTTGCATGCCTCCTGCGGGGCTATCAGCCTCCCACCCTCCCCATTTTCAAGGCTCTTTGGAGAGTCCACCTCGAGCTCTTCAAAGAAGGGTACAGAAGAAAAGAACAAGAAGTTTAATTTCATCTAGCAGATTTCTACTGAATTTCAAATAACATATTCAATAATTCAGTTAATCAGTTAAATGTACATGGAACCACATGTGGACTCTTCATTCCCCACAGGACCATATAAATCAGAGGCTATACTGATAGGGGGGGGAGAGTGATTTCTCAAAAAATGCAGAGCAAGGATGAACCCTAACGCTCAAAGAAAAGAAGAGACATGCTATGATTAGCTTGCCAATTTGCTTGAACTAAGAGACTAATAATAGAAAGAAGACGTCAGCTCCAATCACATTAATAGAATTTCAGTGTGAACATGTCAAAGGCTCTGATCAAAGTGAGATACTGTTAGCATGTCTATATATGGCATGCCCACTTACATGACTAGCGGAGTCAGGACACAGTAATAACCCTATACTTATGAAACTCTCTGCTTTTGCAATAAAATAATCACTATCATATTTAAGAAAGAAAACTCTCTGCCTCTGCCAAAAAATGGAACCATTCTTTTCATATATACTTCGTAAGAATAAGAAAGATACTGCAGGGAAGCATGTATAAAAAATATATATTACACATCCATAACCATATGACAAATCACCAACTCTGTCGAAATACCCTTACCAGTTATAATAATCATAGATACTTTAGCAAAAAGAATATATATGTGTATATTAACTCCAAATTTCCTTCTTTTTTCACTAAAATACTCTCAAACTTAAATTCTTTTAAAACCCTTGAAACCCTACTATATCTAAAGAAAAATTCATGCTCTCTTTACAACAGAAAAGAATACTCAGGTCTGCTTATATATTATCATGTAAATGCTAAGGTTGTATCTCTTCTTACTATCATCGTTATAAGGTACAGATCTTAAGAGAAACTATTTGTAATCCATGAGCTATTTAACATATTATTTAATCATGGTGGTTTACTTTTCTATCAATATATTTTGGCTTTAAGATCACCAAGTATGTATGTGGTGGTTGAGCACCTTAAGAACCTCAATAGACAAGTTTATAGATGAGAGATTTGCAATCCTTTGGCAATTTCTTCCAGAATTCTGGATTAAAAAGCTTAGATTCAGTTGTTTTCGCATTATATTAATCGTTATGATTGGTCCACATGTAAAAGGAAAATTTTGTTTATTAATTCTTCTTTGATTGGTCCAGATATAAAATTATATTATTTTTGAATGATCACATCTAAGCTAGCTCACACACACACACACACACACACAACACTTCCACGCTACCTCCTAACCTTTTAAATTTGTCATTTCTCTATACAAAAAAATGTCATTATATGTTGTCCAAAAACAGAACTCTCATCATCCTACAATCAAATAAGTAAATAAAAATCGTGTTTTAATTATTTTTTTCTTTAACAATTGTATTCTACTATCCTTACGAACTAACGATTCCTTTCACTAAATTACACCTTTACATAACAATTTTATTTTTTTAATCTTGATTTACCCGACGTTATTTTTTTCTTCTTATCTTGTAATTCTATTCACTGGGCACTACCCTTATACCTTGCTAGGATTCCAATTTATTACACGCACATAAAATGCAGTAAATATTTAGATAACGGTAACAATATTGGAGCAGCTTAGTCACTGCTTCAAGCAGTCAGTGAAGGCAAAGCAAACTAACGCACCAGGTCAAATATTCTTCCAATACTGAAGGAGATAAAGCTATCTTATTTAATGCTTAGCATAATACATACCTTGGAAGAACATTAATATCACCCTGCAAGCTGTTGACTCTGCAAGTCCACCCTTCATTTTCTCAATAAGTTCCTCGCACTTCCAAAAGAGTTTCCTCCCTCTACTGTCTTCACTTCCTCGGAAGATTCTACTAACAAAATCAAGTTCCCTCGCAAGGGCCTCTCGTTCCCATGCTGGTGCACAGTGTTGGAAAACATCTTTCACCCAACCCAAGAGCTCAGATGTTCGATTGCAGGCTCGGCAACGGAAAAGCATCTCAGTTGGGCCAGCTCCACTCTTAACAGATGGGCCCATACAAATTTGCCCATCACGAATAGCACAATCCGTGTGAGTCCAATGCGAACACAAATCGCAACCAATCCAACGGCACGTGTTCACTTCAAAATCAAACTTGTTACAGATCACACACATGCAGAGATTGCAGAAACCGCTTTTGTTGGCACATATTTCGCAGGTACAGTCATCAGCTGGAAGCTGGTTTTGGCATGCTATATTTCTGCATCTCTTAAACACAAAGACCTCAATCAGGGAAGTTTGGGAAAGACTTATACTTGGATGCAAAAAAGCCTGAATTCCAGTGTTTATTGAAACGAGTATTTCAAGTTGTACTCGGTGTGCTCTAATCAATGTCTTTGCTGTCAAATCAGATCTACTCTGAACAAGCTTCTGCAAAATCAAAAATTCCTCTCTGTGCTGTGAACCACCACTCCCTTCAAGGATAACCCGGAGACCATTCTTTAGCTCATCAAGAAAATCATCAGGTAGATGATGCATCTTTTCAGAAATCACATCAACTCGTTCCCTAGCTATGTCACGAAGAGTTATCTTATCTGCAACTGAGACACGACGAATGACAGACTGTTCAGGGCAATCATTCTCCGCCTTGCCATTCTCCATCTTCTTTGTCATCATGGCATCAGCAGTGGGCCAAGTTTCTCGTGAACTAGCACTTTCAGTAGGTGATTCACGAATATTATCAGAGTTAGATCTCAGTTCCTGTGCATCAGGAGACAAGCGAGGATCAGAAGACACCAAGGACAGTGATGTTTGCAGTCCAGCTGCACGCGGTTGCTGTCGTGGAGGAAGCATTTTTGATGAAGGGTGGTGATGAATGTTAGAACCAGATGATGTGCCCATCAATTAGTGGTTTCTTCCTGTCAATGTCACAAGGAACTATAGCACATCATCAATCCATCACCACCTACTTTTATCATCACTATCATAAGAATTCAAGCTATGGAAATGTGTGAAAAAAAGAAAGGAAAGTACAGAGAAGCATGGCCCAACTAGGAACACCGTTGTAAACAATAAAAAAATCTTCAGGAAAAATTCTGTAATAAAAATTAAATGTTGTCTCAAAAAAGGCTTTTCTGTCCAGTAAAGTTTTGATCAAAATTATATGTAATAATCCCTTCTTTTTACAAGAACGTTTTTTGTTGCTTGCTTAGAATTAACCATGATTTCCAGAGGATCATATATATATATATATATATATATATATATATATCACATGGGGAGACTATATCAGCTACTACTCAGCTATAACAGACGAAAGCAACACATACACGCTCACCGATTTATTTATTTTTAAAAGAAAATCAGCATCATTAATGAATTAGACTAATTAAGAAAAAAAAAAAGCAAGAATTTTTTTAAAAAATATACCAAAGCTGCAACAAGCAAACAGTAGATCAGAGCAAAGGAAGTAATCTGTTTAATTACTAAGAAAGCTACCAAATCCAAACATAAAGTTACCAGATCTGACCTCTCAAAAAACCTTTCCTAAGATGAGATAAAAATTAATTTTTTTTTAAAAAAATCTATCAGTTAATCAAAAAATTTCCCTATCTATTTATTCACCACTTAAATCACAAACAATAATAATAATAAAAAAAGAAGTCAAAACGGTTCTTCTGGTTTTTCTACCTGTTCTCTAAGCAACCAAACAGAAGCTAATAAAAAGAAAGACAGCACGAGAGAGAGAGAGAGAGACCTGATGAAACGAGGCCAAATGGATCGATGGAGGAAGAGATGAAGGAAACAGGCATCGATCAACAAGGATTACAAGAAAGCAGAGAGATCATTGAATCAGCATCTTTACCATTTTGTCCTCCAGTGTTGAGGCTTGACTACAGATGACAGGAACAAACCGACGACTTTACCCAGGGACAAGACTGGACAATGTGAGAGAGAGAGTCGTTAACGAAAGAAAACGGCTAGCGGCTAAGCCGGTGTCTTAATTTGTGTTCACCGGCTTCGCATGCTTGCAATTTGTCACTGTTTGTGGCGCATTGACTTGTTTTTTTTTTTTTACGCGGCGGCAATGGGGTTTGGCTGGTTAATACATTAAATTTAATTCTTTTGTGTTTTAAAAAATATTTTTTTAAAATAAATATTTTTATATTTTTTATTTTAAAATAATATATTTTTATTACTTTTAAATTATATTAATATACTGATATCAAAAATATTTTTTAAAAAATAAAAAATATTATTTTAATATATTTTTAAATAAAAAATATTTTTGAAAAAATAATAATCATATTTTTAATGAGCCCTAATGAATCAATAAATAATTAACTAAGGTTAACTAAATAGATAAGTGGTAAAAAAAATCATTTGGTTTTGTTGTGTTTATAAATTAAGTAGCTTTTTATTCATTTAAAAAAAAAACTATTAAGTGGCTGGTAAAAGACATTTTTTTTTAAAAAAAAACATCTTCTCCTTATTACATTACATTTAGTAATTACAAATTATAAATTACAGTTAAGAGAATCTAAATCCCTAGAAAAAAAAAAACATTGTGAACACCTTCACAGTGAATTATTTAGAACAGTGTTAAGCTTTGAGATTTTTTTTATTCCAATCTTTAGTTTTTTTATTTTTTTTAGTCCTTGAAAAATTAAGTTATATGAATTTTTCAATTTATAATTTATTTTAATTGGTTTTTATAAAGTTCTCATAATGTAAAAAAAAATAGAATAATATTTGATCAGTATTTAATTTTACAAACAAAAACATTTTAGTTATGTTAATTGAAAAAATTAAACATTCAAGACCCAATTTGACTAAAATAAATGGTTTATCTTCTTACCCCTACTGTTCAAAACCCATCTTTTCTTTCTCTTTTTCCTTTTAATTTTTTCAAGTTTTTTGTCCTTATTAAACATTTTAATTCAAAATTTTATTTATTTATATTTCAATTCATGAGTTTGAAAAAAAAAATTGCTGGAAAAAAAAGTTGACATATGACCAATTTCAACAATAAAACTAGTTATTCTCAGTGTAAATAAATTTTATTTGATAATAAAAATTTTATTTATATATTTTTTTATTTTTAACTTGCAAAAAAAAAAAAGGTTTGAGAATGTTTATTTATTCAAGTTTATTTTTTCATTATTTAAGCGATTAAATGCTAATGTAAGACTAAAATTTAGTTTATTAAAGCCATTCAAATGTTTCTTAGGTATTATTAATTCAAATAAAGGTTGAAAATAGATTTTTTGAAACCTAGAAATCAAAATGTCAAATTTTAAAATATCTTAATTTTATTGGTGAATAACAAATCATCTGCTCCTTTAGCTAAAGTATGTTTTCGTGTTTGTGTGGGTAAAGAAGCAAAAGTTAGGAGAACATGTTCGGCCTTGTAGCCCCCACATATAACCTTTTCTTCATTGTAAGCTAAAAATGTTTGACATACAGGTCATGTGTTTAAATTTTTAAAATTTTTTTTACAATAATTTAAATTTAATTTCATAAAATAAATTCATTTAAAATACAATAGATATATTATTGTATTAAATTCTTAAATTAATTAAGAATGTATTTTAAATCTTTTTTATTACATACCATTACATTTTTCTTTTTCTTTTTGAATATGATTATAAAAATATTGTTATAATATTAGCAAATGTTTTTTTTATACAACCCCTTGCAATTATTATTTATTTGCTTTACTACAAGTATTTATTTATTTATTATATAATTAAATAAAAAATAGGTGCACACCTAGAACTGTTATGTCCCCTCTCTTTTTTTCCTTTTAATTGTTCTCTTTAATTTAAACTTAAAATTAATAAGAGTAGTATTTTTTATATTTGTTTTTATTTAATCACTTTTTTTCAAATATATATTTTTATTTTTATATAATTAAATGAAAGGTAAATTATAAAAAAATCATTATGAAACCCAAACAAGTTAATAACTTGAATTATAAATTTCATTGGTTAACTAGGTTGACTTCTTTTGATACAAAGTATCATTATCTTGATATTTAGAAGGAAAAAAAAAAGAGGTTAAGTAACATCCTCTTCAATATTTTTATTTATTTTTAGGTGAAGTTTTTAATTAAAATTTATTTAAATAAACTAATTAAAAACATGTTTAAGATATTATTTAATGAAGTGTTGTTTGATTTTTACTTTTACTCATAAGATTGTAGCATATTTTTCTAATATTAATAACAATCTTACTGTGTATCCCTTTATGATATTTATTTTTATATTTTTATTTCTTAAATTTTATTTATTTTTTTTCTTGTAAATTTATGTTATTGAATAGTTATTATTAGCTTTCGTGTTTATGCTTTGCAGCATAGGTAAACTATTTTTTTAATAAAAAATAATTAGTTTTTGAAAATGGGTAAAAAAAATATAAAAAATCATTTATGAAAAATATGTAAAAAAATCCAATTAGATCTAAATCAACACAAGATATTTTGTCATACTCATGATCAAGGCTGGAATAACTCGATTAAAAATAAAAAGTTTTATAAAGCCTTTTAATAAACTATGTTAACTTTTTAAACTCGTGACTAAAGTTATTAAACTTGAAGCATCGAATCTAAAAAAAATATGAAGTTCAATTTCTAAAAAACTAAATATTAAAGGATGAAATTGAATAAAAAACCTAATCATACAAAAGGATTTTAAAAAATAGTATTTTAAAAAATAAGGATCAAAATCATTATCACTACTATTATTAATAAATAATACTATTACTATTACTATTATTATTTCTATTTCTATTATTATTGTTGTTGTTATTATTACTATTGTCATTATCACTATCATCAAAACAAATATTATTTGTATTTTTATTATCATCACTATTTTTTTTCCTCTTCTTATTCTTCTTCTCTCTTATCTCTTATGCTGTTGTTGTTATTTATAGTAGTAGTAGTAGAAACAGTAATATTGTTATCACCATAACAACAACTACTACTATTAGTATCAACACTTGTTGTTGTTGTTATCAATAATATTATTATTTTAATAATTATTATCACTATTATTATCACTATCATTACTATTATTATCAATAATATCATCATTATCATTGATATTACCATGACTATTATTATTCTTATTATTGAGAAAATAAAAATCATGAACTTGATTTGAAGGATAGAATTGAAAATTATGAAAACTTTGACAAGAAAGCTAATAAAAACAATGAACAATCAAAAGAAAAGGGACCAAATTGGAATCACTATTATCATTGAAAAACTAAAAATCATAGACTTGATTTGAAAGATAAAATTGAAAGTTATAAAAACATTGACAAAAGGGCAAAAGAAAAAAAATAGGAAATTAAAAGTAGGGCTGAATTAAAATACTTTATATATATAAATTAAACACAAAGGGTTAAATTGAAAACAAACAAAACTTTAACAAAAAAGAAAAAAGCTAAAAGTAATAATCACAATTAAAAGGTACGAATATGAAATAACTATAACCATAACAATAAGGATTATAGTTTATTTCTTAGGATATGAGAGAGAAATGAATGAAGAAAAAGAAAGAAAGAGTCACTAGGAATGTTGGAAACCTATTAAGAGAACATGTGCCGCCTATAATAAAAAAGAAGACAATGAGGAATAAACTAAGACAGCAAAAGCCTATTTTTGAATGTTGGAAACCGCCGTACGTGCTGCCTAAAGTGTGTGGCTGTTCCAATGTGTTGGGGGGGGGGTGCTCTAATGTATGTGCCATGACATGATCAAAAGATTGATGTCTTCTCCCAAATGCAGAAGTGTTGAAGTAATAAATAACCTGACAAGACCGGGGTCAACCACAAGGAAGTTAATTGTATAAATTAAAAATAACAATAATATAACAATAACAACAACAACAATAATAGTACTAGTAATAATAGTAGTAGTAGTAGTAGTAGTAGTAGTAGTAATAATAATAATAATAGAAGAAGAAAAAGAAGAAGAAGTTGATGAGAACTTTGAGATAAAAGATCAATGTAAGGATTCAAGAATGATAACAATAAATGTCAAGGTTTGAGGATCCACTAATGGTATTTCAAACAAGTATAGTATAAACTCTTATTACTTAAATGGAAATTACACATAAAGGAGTTATAATCAGATTATAAATTATTAACAAGATTACATTATCTTATTCGAATAATACTAATACTTGTAAATGTTGTTAAGTATCATGATTATAACTTATGTTAACAACAAATCAAGTTCCTTTCATAGTAGAGGTGTAGGTTATATTATACAGTTGAACTCTGAAAGTACCAAGTATTTATTATACCAAGTATTATACAACATAAATCTAGATTAACTATTTAACAAGTAAAGTATTAAAAGTGAACAAGATAACAAATACAAAACACATGTTAGTATCAAATATTAAGATCTACGTTGAGTTTACAGTATACTTATTCTTACATCATTAATGTAACCTTTTCATCTTGATATAATAAACTTAACTAAACATAATAAAAGAGAGAAACATAAATAAACAAGATAAGAACATAAATAAGATAAAAGTTAACTAGTAAAGGAAATGAAATGAAAGGCATAAACAAGATATTAATAAAAACAAAACTTAAGCATTACAAAAATACAAAGAGAGAAAGCAAGAGCATGATCTTGATCTGAAAAACCAAGATACCTACATACATGGTAAATGCCTCCTTTTACAGGCCAAAATTTGAAACTATTGATTTGATAAATAATTAATGAGTGGGTGGTCACATCTTGTCTTGATGACAATCCTTATCTTCTTGTCTGAATAAAACATCATTGATAACGTTAGAATTGGAATCATTACTCATGAAAGTTCTAGGAAATTGTCTCAGCTTTCTAGAAAAAAAAAGAGAGGTTATTTGGATTTCTAGAACTCTAGATATGGGTCAAACACTGAACAATATTTAGGCTGCAGAACAGATTTAG